GTTCTATCCTGTCATTCTTGATTTTATTACAGTTTTCTGCTTCCATGATACTAGATTCAATTTGTATGTGCAACATGCAGAAAAGTTCAGCAAACAGTTACTGCATTATGTTTGAACAGATGTTTGGCCAGTTGGCAGATAGTGTGCAATAATTCATTAACTGACAGAGACAAAACCTTTGCTACACAGCAAACTTGATAACAGGTTTATAGTTATTTCTGTCAGTTGCTTACTAATGATCTATCAGTGTCTAGCATTAATCTCACCATAGTGAATAGTGTGTTTCTTGTTGAGTCTGGCATTAGAAGTAAGAAATTCAGTAGGTTGCAACATCAACTAAAGCATATAAGCAGGATTTGAATTTACTCCAAAATACCTACTGCATCAGTTCACCCAAGAAACTAGTGTGTCTAAAGTTTCATTTCTTCAGGCCACAGATTTCTGAACTTTTGTCTGTCCAAAGTGTTGGTGGCCCCACTGTGTGATTTTTATCTGTGGTGAAATTTGGGATATAACATTTGGAAAATTAACATGCTAACTTTGAAGGCCCATAGAGTGAAGTCCAGAATGTTATTCTAGAATTCGTTGACTGTGAATTTCATTATGTATCACAGAATTTTGTAAATCAGTTTAAAATATACATTGATGTTGGAGGACACCATGTTCAGCAACTCTTGCAGAATGAGATATGTAAACTGTTCTATAGATTTCACGTTTGAACATGGATAGAGCCTTGGTTTTATTTCTGGAGAGAAGCGAAACGTCAGCCAGTATGTCACTCTACAGACAGGTGATGATAAGATTGAAAATGAAGGAATGAATCTCTGTTTTACAGATTTGAAAGAAATTTCATGGAGTTCTCACAACATTGTGGATACTATACCTGAAGACAGAACCTGTGTACATTTATGTTTTTAAGCCTAACTGAATATTTTAACATAGTTTGAATTTGCTCATTAAGCATGAATGATCAGAAAAGTGACTTGCTCCCTCCATGAAACCAGCTCTTTTATAAGCCAACAGTTGTTCCACTACTGAAGACTTTCCTAACACTTTATCACTTTATGGAACCAAAAGGTTTATTACCATGTTCACAAGGGTCCACCGCTGGTTCCTGACCTGAGCCAGATGAATCCAGTCCACATCACCCCATCCTGTTTCTGTAAGATCAATTTTAATATTATCCTCCAACCTACCTCTAGGCCTTCCTAGTAGTCTCTTTTCTTCTGGCTTTCCCACCAAGACCCTCCATGCATTCCTATTATCTCCCATGTGTGTGAAGTGCCCCACCTATCTCACCATTCTTGACTTGATCATTTTAATTGTATTTGGCAAAGAATACAAGTTATGAAGTTCTCAGTTGTATGAATAACCATTTAATATATGAACAGGACTGACCACAGTTCTGACCTGTTGTCTTCATTCCCATCACTTGAAAAATGCAACCTATGTGACATAGATGTATCAGTTAATTGTTACTGAAGAACTCTGTGATAAGAGCAGACTTTGCCAATGAAACAGTAGCAAGATATTTAAATTGTAATACCACAACTATCAATTATGAACAAAATAGGAAGTTCAGTTTTTTCATTACTCGTAAAACTCTTCATAGGATATCTTAAAAGATGCAAAAGAATGCCTAAATTAGTTATCAATATTGATGTTTGAGTATATTGATGGGAGGTCTGGCCTACAGTGCAGTTATTGTAGCTTTACTTTGGGCTTTTCACTTTCAAATCACCACACCACAATCAGCTTATTACTTTGTGGAGTCATTAAATAATTGTATCAAGAAGCAGTCCCAAGTAATTTTAAGAGCAAGAGAAAACAATAAACTTTACCATGACATTTTTTTTCCTCTTTATCTTCCCTTACTAATCAACTCATGGTAGCTGAGTGGTCTTAGCCATATACTGTCTAGCTCGCTCAGAAGGTCTGGTCATGTGTTGAAATCCCACACAAGGCATGGATGTTTGGTGTGTGTATGCGTTTGTTTTGTGTTTGTGTTTAGGTGGAAGCCTTGTGAAGGAGTCCTACTTTCTGTAAGAATGATCAGTGAAACTGAGAAATGAGCCTAGTGCTCCAAAGTTGGAGCGAGAGGAAAAAAATGAACTGTGATTTCCATGTGACATCACATTACATCTTCAGTCAGTATAGAGCACCATTAGTCAGTGTTAACACACCAATGGAGAATAATCCTAGTTTGTATTTGAATGCTTTTGCAGTTATGCAGTAGTAGCTGGAACAGCAAAGTATGGGCAAAGTGTGATCAAAGGTAACACTGCTAAAACAGTGCAACCCTTATCATTATATTCTCACGTTAATGACTTTGACGTATCGGCCTGTATTAATGAATTTATTCAGTATATTTTATGTAAAATAATGATTTATTGTTTATTATTTTCTGTTTGAGTAACTTCTTTAAGTGAGGCATTGTAGAAGTATTGATAGAGGGAATCAAGTTGGAAGATTATTACACTATTGCTGCTTTACAGAAATTACAATCATTCCACACTGATCTCTTTAGTCTGTCTGCACTAATCTTCATGGATTTGTAACACAGGAACTATAAAAGTCTCGTTAAATCACACTCCCAGTATCACTGTGCTACAGCACACATAAGGTATTCAAATCACACGTTAAATCTTCACAAGCTGATGAACTTTATTCATTCTGGTCTGTAACACTAGGTAATTATTATAAAGTGAATATGACAACACCATCCAGTGTGACTCAGTATATATTTATGAAGTGCCTTTACATGTTTTCGTAAGTTGTGACCATCTTCAGAAAGGTAATAACAACATGCTAAGATGTAGTATTACATAGATTATAATACAATACATATGCTTAAACTTTTGTATAAAAATTGTTAAAGTTGAAAGATGTGTAAGTTAATGATATATTATTATATTCTTAATGTTTAAAATTTTGAATCGCCAAGGTTTGTGTCTTTGTGCTGCTTCTGTCAAATGAGAGATTGGGGTGTTTTTCCCATCCTCTGAGGTCTGAGCAGCATTGCCCCCCCCACCCCACCCCATATGGTTCATTGAGGATCTGTGTTGTTGTGATGTTTCTCCTTTCTTTGTATGTTGAGCACAAGCTAACTCTTTGTACTCTTCTTCAACTACAAATTTCCTGTGGCTGTCTCCTACCAAGAACTGACTCGTCCCTGAATTGAACAAAATCTGTCACTTATATAGCCAAGGAATGGACCTGCTTCACAGAAAATAGGTCACGTGACTACCGACCACTGCTGCGTAACATCACCGCAGACAGAAAATACAGCCTCCTCTGTTGTTGCATTTTGGACCATGTTTACAGAGCTGTTGCCTGGCAGTGTGCTGATCAAAACTGTTACAGTATTGTGTATGGTTTGAGATATAGGGATCAACCTGTAGATTGTGGCAGTGAAACAAGAATGTTGGAGTAAGAAAACCCAAATTATAAAGTTGTAGTTATATGGTTAGCACTCCTGCTTTGAATTTGTGATGTTCTGTATTGCACCCAACTATATTCGCTGAAGTTTCCATTATTTGTCCTTAGACATACTGGGATCATATCTTAAAATATGCCATGACCATTTTCTTCCATTTGAAAAGGTTTTATTAAAGAACCTTAGAATCTGTCAATTGTTGACACATGAAACAGAAAGTAAAAAACGTGGTATATTCATTAGTTGCATCCTGTTGAGTGTTCCAGATATATATAGGAATTTAGTTAACTGTCAACACAACGAATATACTAGCTTTTAATGTTCGACTTTCTATTCCTGATGCATGTTTCGGTCGTACAAGACCATCATCAGGCAGTTATGGGAATATATTTAGTTACTGAACTACCAATATGGATCCATACCAGTGCATCATGACATATTATATACTAACAGATATTTCCATAATATATTCAACATTTATATCACTTAACATATCATGATATATGGTATATATTTCATTTTTATCTTATCTTATTTTGTATCTTCTATTTTAATTGTAATAACAACTTGAGGCAAATTTTATCTGTTTTTCAGCCTAGTCAAGAAATTCCTTGCCTTATACAAAACTTGAAGGTTCATTAATATGTTCACAAGAGCCTGCTACAGGTCTCTATTCTGAGACGGATACCGATCACACCCTCTCACATAATCTCTAAGATTATTTCAATATTATTCTTTCATCTACATTTATGTCTTCCAAATAATCTCTTCATATTTTCCTGATGAAAACTTTGTGTGCGTTCTTATCTCTGTCATGCTAACTTCTCTAAGATCATTTTAATATTATTATCCTTCTCGATTTGTTTATCCTGTTATTCCCAGTTTCTTGTTACTTCTCACTTTTATATCCAGATATTCTCCATGGCATCCTGCTGTCAGTCTGTATTATTCCCTTAATATAAAAGATAGGTTTCAGAACTGTACAAAAGAACAGGTAAAATGAATAAATTTTGTATATTTTAATCCTTGTTTTTAGATGAAAAGTCAAAAGATTCTGAACAGAAAATTAGCAAGTATTCATTTACAGGTTATGCAGTCAGAAAACTGTTGGCCAAATAACCTCACTATTATGTATGTTATCTTGGCACATATTTCTTCTTAACTGCTGATATGATTCTCCTTGGTGTGAGAAAGCCTGTCCCTTATTGATAATTACCATTCATATTTGCCCCATCTGATCTGTACTCCCACCAGATCTTACTTTGGTAATTGTCTTCTATTTTCACTGAATCTTACCTATGGAGTCTCTTGAAATACCATGCTCCAAATGTTATACCCATTTGTGTTGCTTCACTCTGTCCAAAGAAACTGACCACATCGAAGGTGCTGTTACATTTTGTAATCTGATTTTTACAGTGCAAAAATGTTATATCCCACCATCCTTCGAGTCCCTACACACATCTCTATAGCATGGTGATTGGACATGGACAACATTCTGAGTGTTGACAGTTCTGCTGATATGTAGAGGCAAGGCTTCAGTATATAACATAAAGTTTGTTTACAGCAAAACCAGCTACTCAAACCGAATTATTGATCCAATACCAGAGGAGGAAGAAATGGACATTGTGAGACATAATGAACAGGCATCTACAATTGAAGGTATGAGAGAAGTGACACTTTAGATTCCAATACATACACAACTCATATTTTCTACACAGTAAGCATCTTATGAGAAGGTATTCAGAATACTTGAATGCGTTAACTTTATTAATATGTTTCTGATAAATATGTTTTCAAGTTTGGGCAGTAATTTCTAGTGGTTGAAATTCCAAGTCAATGAAATGTTTTATGTTCAAATTTTTGTGATTCTACAGGAGTGGAACTTTTATGTTTGTTGCTGTAGAAATTGTGAACTGAAGTTTCAGTTGCATGAAGTCAGTAAGAATGGATTACAAGTCAGTTTCAAACTTTAACATTGTTTGTGCTATAGTGTTAGTGGTGCAAAAAGAAATAATAATCTGTAGGATACATTTTGTAATTTTTGGGTTAATCATTTACCTTTATTAACTTCATACTAGCCAGTTTTACATTTTAAAAGAATGTGCTGTTTGTGAGCTGCTGATAAATAACAAATTGTCGGGATTAAGGTGTTGGACCGAATTTTTTCTGAATAATTTGTTTCTATTATCATCATCAGTGCTTCTTTTCCTGTTAAGAAGTATGCTTGGATATCACAAAAGAGACAGTTCAGATTTGTTGGGGGCAGACTTGTAAAGTGTGGCAAATCATTTTTATGAGAAAAAATGCCAGGATAATGAAACATCTCATACTGCTAGAAAAGAAATTTGTTGTCATTATCATTATTAAGATTTTAGGCATAAGCCATGCTGCATACATGACTTGTATTTGAGTTATATCAAATTCAGATTTTACTTGGGATACTAGCAATACTGTTTCCATGATTCTCCTCTGCACAAATGCTATAGCTGTCACTAAAGTAGGCTGTGACCATTTCTGAACTCATTATTGATGTATGGCATAACCTGTACAGTTGAAAATGTTCATTATTGTTTTTTAATTATCCCTTGAACCAGTATATGCATGACTGTAATGGTCTTAATTCTGCACGTGATCTTTCTTGTTTCTTCAATTCTTTGATAATGAATTGGTCCCATATGTCAGAAATGTCTTCTTGCAACTCTTTTTTTTCCCCCCTTGGCACTACAGCCCCAGTGGGCCTAGGCCTACCTCCATGAACTTCTCCATTCACTTCGGTTTTTTTCTAGATCTTACACATTCGGTAGGACTCCTTGGGTGAGTGATCAGCTCGTCACAAGGCCTCTGCCTGTAGACAAACACAGAAAAACGCACACACATCCATGCCCTGAGTGGGATTCGAACCCACGATCCCAGCTTCTGAGCGAGCAAAGACAGTGCATGCCTTAGACCGCTCGGCTACCATGACCAGCCTTGCAACTCTTAGAACTTCAAAATTGAAGTTCTTAATCACTGTCTTGTTACTTTTCAGAGCAAAATTACCTATTACTTTTCAGGGTAATATTACCCTCAAGACATTTCAGGGCTAGCATATTCCTGTATAAATGTTTCTCTTTAACTTCTCTTAGGGCTTTTGGGGAGAAAAAATCAACCCTTTCTGATATTTTTGCTTTTGTGTTTACCATTCCTGATCCGTTGCCATCATATTTGGCTGTATAAGCTCTGAAAGAGTGCTGTTAAATAGCCTATGAATCATCATTTAGATGTAATTAAAATTCTGCTCTACTTGTGTAGCAGGTGGCCATGGAAAGAGAAGAACAAGCTCTGTTGATGGTACTGATTCATCAGAGAGACATGGCTCCAGCCTTGGTGACAACGCCAAGCGACAATCAAAACACAGACAGTTTTTTGAAGAAAGTGATATGTGGGACTGAGAGTCAAACCTTTGTTCTTTATAATTGGTTTTTACTAGATGTATAATGATTATGACCAGTATATCTAATTGACACTGATGTTCGTAATTGGGCAGTTGAAAGAGTATGTAACCAAGGAACGAATTCATTTTTTTTATAATGGAACACTTTTTCTTTTTCCAGAACTCTTAGAGATGTTGAATAGATGACGTTTGAATGTTTCTATTGAATAACTTTTTTTTTTTCCTGGATAAACATGGTGCTCCGCTCATAGATCCAACACAGATATGTATTATTGGTATCTTCAAAGTAATTAATTACTTTGTTCATTAGTAAAGACCTTCCACATTATGTGTGTTATATTGTTGTATGGACCTTCAAACTCCCATGGTTTCGAAACCTTTATGGTGATAATGTCAGAGATCAAACATATTTTATCAGATGTCAGTGTAAAGTTGTTTCTTTAATTAGAGCTTGGAGAAAAAAGAAACTTGGTAAAATGTTAGTCGCATTGAATATAAGCATGGAAGTGTGCAGTAAAAATTCCTGGTGATAGCAGATTTTCTCAGTAAACGTGACACAAAAATACTTTACTGATGAAAAGAGAAATCAGCTCTTCCATTTTGAGAATGCGCATTTGAATTAAATGGCTGCGATTGTTTTGTAGTGCCATTTTGGACAAATTATTTATTAAGTATTTAATCAGGATCTCTTGCAGTTGGGCACATGTTGCAAAGTAAAGGTGAATTTTAATCATGATGAAATCACGCTTTCAACTTGTATAGTAGGTACTTCCATTGCGGCGGTGGTGGTGGCGGCGGCAGCAGCGATGTATTTAAGGGAAAAATTGGTGGACTAGCCTTCATCAAAGCATAGCTGTGTATGATGCCTAGGAATGTATGATACTTCCTTATCAATGAATATTCAGTATTTAGTGCTCACATAACTCTAATTGCATACCAAATTTTCTTCTGTAAAGAGACATACATTTAGGCAGGGAGTACAATAGGGCAGAAGTGGCCGCAGTACAAGGCACTTAGTCCTACCCCACTAGCAATAAAAAAAATGCAATGTAAGGGACTAGAAATCAGAGATATTTGGAAGCATATAAATATTTCAGATTTTATCATGTCATATATCTGACTTTTTTTAAGAATTGCATGATTGACTTACGTTACCCTATTAAATAATAAAGCCTGTGTATATGAAGTTAGCTGGCTAGCCTTGTCTTTCACCATCTGTAATGTCGTTCCTTCCGTCTTGATACTTGTTAACAAAACAGTTTTTTTTCTATTGATTTGTTATAGCATAAATACCAGGGTCAGTTGTCTTCAGTGTCACCAAAAACTCAACGCTGTAGGATTTGAGGTTCTTACAGCAGTGACTGTAAACTGTATGACCATTTGAGCTATTAAACCATAACCCTTCGGGGCAGGATGGGTGTAGTAGGTAACAATCTTTTCAACTGTGGTGGCAGTTTTGTATAACACATGGAGGAGAAGTTTTTGACGTGTTATATTGATGGATGGCTGTAGAGGAATATATGTTGTCATACGTTTCCAACTAGCATTGGCTTCTCTGGCCATATCCGTGGAACATGCCAAACAGACGACTGCACATGCGGTTTGAGGTGTTGTGTATGGATGGCAGGAGTCCAGTAAAATGTAATGTTTTCAACAAATCGCAGATGAGATACTACCCATTAATCCAAACTAAGTACAGTTTCGAATTTTTGCACACTTTGGTGTTTTTTTCATTTGTTGTGTGGCATTACTTTTACTTATCTGTGGGCTCAAGGTGAGGAGAAATGGCAGTTATAGCTAAGATATGAAAATATGGATGGATATCAATGAATGAGGGTCAAACCTGAAAGTAAATTATCATATATTTTCTTAATCCATCACAACAAATTCACATATAAATACACAAGTTTATCAATGAAATTACTTTTATTTGCTAATGCGAGTCTTACAGGATAGTATGAAGGGCGTTCCATATATAATGCCTCCTATTTATTTGTGTTAATATGTAAAGTCTGAGCTGGATGTTGGTGGTGTTGTAGTAAAGGTTGAATCTTCCCACCAATGTACTGTTAGTTTCGTTGTCGTGCGACAGATAGTGACAGCAGAGCAGTCTACGAAATGGCGTCTGACATAGAAGTGCGTACGAAGCAGAGATGTGTTATTGAATTTCTCAGTGCTGAACAAATTGCACCCATTGACATCCATCGACACTTGCTAAAGGTGTACGGAGATGATACAGTGGACGTCAGCACAGTGAGGCGGTGGGTAGTGCGTTTCAACAGTGGCGAAAGTGAAGTGCACGACACGCTATGCCTTGGGCGTCCCTGCTTAGCTGCCACTCCTCACAATGAACAGCGCCTCATCCATACAGATCAGCAGATAGTGACCAGGGAACTGTGTGCACAGTTTAATATCAGCTTTCATGCATTGGAAACGATGTTGAGGAAGCTGGATTATCACAAAGTTTGTTCCGGGTGGGTCCCGCGGATGCTTACACAGGACCACAAAACTCATCGAATGGAAGTCTGTCAGGACCTGTTGCACCAGTTTGAGGCTGAAGGTGACAAGTTTCTGGACAGCATCTTCACCGGAGATGAGACGTGGTGTCACCACTACAAACTGGAATCCAGAAGATAGTCCATGGAGTGGCGACATCCCGATTCCCCAAGAAAATAGAAGTTCAAGACACAGTCATCGGTAGGGAAAGTGATGTGCACTTGTCTTTTGGGATAGGCGGGGTGTCATTTTGTTGGATTTCCTGGAACCTGGTGAGACTGTCAATTCTGAACGTTACAAGATGATGCTGACTAAGCTGAAAGCCCGCATTTCCAGAGTCAGGCCAGCGAAGCAGACAACCTTTTGCTTGCAACATGATAATGCTAGACCCCATACCAGTTCGGCGACCACCGCACACATTGCAAAGTTTGGCTGGACTGTCCTACCACATCCACCTTATAGCCCCAATTTAGCACCTTCAGACTTCCATCTCTTTGGGCCTATGAAAGATGGACTACATGGTCAACATTTTCCAGACAACAATGCTGTCATTGCAGCTGTAAGAAAGTGGCTAGCCTCTGCTGGCGCAGACTTTTACGAGCACAGCATACAGGCTCTTGTTCATTGCTGGCAAAAGTGCATAACGAATGGTGGTGATTATGTGGAAAAATAACTGTAAGTAGCTGAAATCTTGCTCTATTTAACTGCGTTATTATGCTTTCTGTATCTGTTGTAGTTTTCATTAAAAAAAATAGGCCTTATATACGGAATGCTCCTCGTGCTGACACCTCCGTTTCTCCAGTGGCCAAAAGCAACATGATTGTCATCTGGAATACCAGTGGCTGTAATTGTAATATCAGTATCCTGGAGAACCTGGCATGAGGGAAGTTGGCCAAGGACCGAGAGCTTGAGAAGGTGTTATGAATGACAACGGTGCATTGCTCTAAACTACTTAGGACATGAGTGTGCCAAACAACAGTTGAGGGCCTTGGTTGAAGTTTGCCCTCAACTCACAATTGTAATTGGCAGTTGTGTTTCACTGTGAAGTTCACGCTTCATAAGAGGAAGGTTCTGTTATAGTGGTGTTTGCTGGCAAGAATGTTAAATCAGTATTCTGAATAAATGATATAACCTCCGTCTCAAGTGCAAACAATATATTCTTGTGTCTTTGATCTTGCTCCCTACACTACATGTTTCGGCCTCAGACGGCCATCATCAGGTGTATAACACTTACGTCGCTGTCACACTGCACCCAGTTCAAAATTTAACATCTAAAACACTCTCCCTGTCATTATCAACTTCTACTTCGTTGATAGCTGTCCACCCGTAGATTACTTCACACACGTTAATTTTGAGTTTATTGTAATAGCACCATAATAAAATCTTTAGTTC